TTATGCTTGCCAGCATAAAATGTTTGGGTATAGAGAATGTGGGAAAGAAAGATCTGGGGTGATTCCAAGTTTTGGCTTGATTAATAACTGGACAAAGTCATCTTTGAGATAAAGAACAATAAAGGATGAAAATATTGGGGGGAAAGGCAATAAATTAAATTTGGTACCTATTGAAAAGTTTGGAGTGTTTTTAAGCAATATGTTACATAATTAATACCTCTTAAGTTTCACAATATCCCTAAAAGGCATCATAATCTATTTTATAGAGGGAGAAAAGGAAGTAGTTAGAAATATAAGTCTGAAGTTTAGGATACAAGCCTAAGCTGGAAATAGAGATGGTGTGGGAATGGATGAAATTCTCCAGGGAGTATTAAGATTTAGGTTTAAAAACCCAAAAGCACCAAAAAGTCTTGAAACAGATCATAACAGCTAAAAGGTGGGCATAATAGGAAGAACCGGAATGGAAACTAAGAAAGACTGGTTGGAGAAAAAGAAGAGACTCTTGTCAAAATGGCATTATAGAAGTCCAAGCAGAAGCACATTTCAAGTAAACAGAGCTGTTGCAATGGCTGCAAAAAGTTCAAGTAAGATATGGGTCAAATTTTTCCAAATGTTAATAAGGAAATAATTTTTGGCAACTGTAGGTAAGTGGTAAGGATGGAAGCCAGAATGCAGCGAGTTGGGTATTAATGGAGGTGAGCAGGTGGCAGAAGGGAGTATGTACTATTCTTTCAAGATGCTCTGGGATAGTGAATATTCTGTATTTCGTATTTATAATACCATAAATTCTTAAAAGAATTAGTTCAATATCAAAGGTTACTGCCCAATATTTTGCAACCCCTGGCTGCTCAAGGAATATTCTTTGAACTGGACAAAGTTCATAAATTTAAGTAGACACAAGTGAGAAATGCCATATAGTATCTCCTTTCCAATATTTGATCTTTGAGGTTAGCACCAGGGAACATTTTATGGGAAAACATAGCTGCCTTCTCAACACTAACCTCAAAAAGTTTTGTTAAGTGTCTCCAAACATCCCGAGCTTCCTTCAATAATCTTTTTATTATAGTGAAAGTAGAAGAAACATGAAAAAGAGCAAGCACTTTGGTGTAGATTTGGTTTAATGTCAGCTCTACTATTTGTCAGCCATATGACCTTGGGCTAATGACTTAAAATTCCCTGCTCCCCACTTAGAAAAGAGATTGTCTCACGGGGCTGTAGTATGGGTGGTACAGGAGATTTGTGCCTGGCACACAGAAAATATGCAATAAATATTAGTTCCCATTACTTCCTTCCCCTGTGCCCTATGAACACACCCTAAGATTTAAAAACTTCATATTTAGTGTTTCCCTTTTCAGATCTGTTTTAAACGTTTTCCAAACAGAAGTAAAGGTTAACACTGACATAGACAACTGCCTGCCAAAAGGTCTGACCATTTCAAATTGGATTTCCACTTAGAATGTTCACACCATAGAAGCATTTCTAAGATAACTCCGCACCGTAACATGGCTCCTTCAAGGTTATTTAGGTTAAAATTATCGAGCCTTTTGTGCCTTGGCCTTTCCTCTCAGAAGTCTCTCAACTCCACCTGTCAATTCATTTCTCAAATGCAAAATTCCCTGCCAGGCCGCCCAGTCCTGAATGAGGCTCCCTGGGCTGGGAGCACAAGCACTAACAAGTCTGGTTTGGTTATCTTCTGCCAGCTCACTCAGCAGCCTCTCACAGATTGGGGTCTGAACTTACAAAACCAGAGAGGAGTAAGTGGAGGAATCATTCTTTGTTGCCTTTTTGGATTAGGCCTTTCTGACAATGGCCAGACTATGAGACTTCTGGAAGTCACGTAGACATCCCCGTCTCCTCACACACGTTGAATAAAAACACGATCTGTGTTAGAAGCCTTCAGAGAAGAGTGGTCAGACGCGGTTGCTTCTGTCCACCAGGGTCTGGTCTCTACCGTGGAGAATCAATTCATCCTAACAGCTGCACTCCATTCTTCCTGCTGCACACTGTAAGCTTCCTCTAACTTTGCCCTTCTGTTTGGCATTTGCTCACAAATCTTTGGGGAAGTTCTTCAAAGCCGTTAAAATCACCCCAATCCGGAAGACCAAGTGAAAATGGGCCTTGGGGATGGACAAAGTTTGCTTCGTTTAAGGAAGTCGGGAGAAGTGAGGAGGAGCGGGGACCGATGCCTGTCACCACAGGCCTGACTTAGGGGGGTTGGGTGGGAAACCGGACCAGGCTAGGCCACGCAACTCAGAGTGACCACTGGGACTGCTCCGAGCCCCACCGACTAACACGTCATGGCCCGCTTCCTACCTGTACCGGGGGCTAGAAACCGCCTCAGAACTCCTGCGGCCTCCACCTCTACCCCACGGGCCTCCCAGCCTGGCCGCCGCCTGCGCGGTCACCGCGGTTTTAGCGCCCCTGACGCCTCTGGGACACAGAATTACCAGGTAGCTCAGTCACGCCGCCCTAGTCTTCACGTAGCCTCCGCCATCCCTTACGTAGACTACGTGAGGCCCATCGGCGCCTGCGCGCGTCTAGGGGGCGGGACGTAGCCTCCGGGACCGCGCGAGACCTCCCCCACCCCGCCCGGGAGAGGTAAGGTGGGGCTGCTGGGAAAATTACATAATCTCGGCCCCTGGGCCGGAACTGCTCACGCCAGCCCCTTCG